GGGGGGGGGGCGGTGTGCAGGAGGCAGCTGATCGATGTTTCTCTCTCATCGATGTTTCTAACTCTCTATCCCTCTCCTTTCCTCTGGAAAAAATCAATAAAGTATATTTAAAAAAAATAATTAGCATGTATATTAGACTTGATTAACCATTTCTTCCCTTTTTAATTGGATATTTGGCTTTCTGATATTTTGTGGTAAAAAATTATATTATAATTTTGTACATATAATTTATTCCTCAAGATTATGCCCTTAGGAAAATACACATTTTCACTAGTAAGAAAAATGTGCTACTTCAAACAATGAGAAACAATATTCTCTTATTAAATTATCAAAAACATGTCATTGACCATCTCCATTTTTTGGCAAGCATACGGTGAACCTAGTTGAGCAGTACCAGAATCAGTATGAAGTGGCACAATCCTTTAGAAGGTATTTAGTTACATGGATCAATAGTCATAAGAATGTGTTTATTCCAGCTGGAAAAACACTTGCAATATTATAAGACCTAAAACCTAGGGGGGGATTCCAGAGACACATGGCAACTATTTTGGTTCTCTGTGTAACAAAATTTCTTCAGTTTGAACACGTGTTTAACATCCCCCTCCCCAGTCTACTTACATCAATTATGCTCTTCATTTCTTTTATATAAACCTCTTCGGCCTCAAGCAAGTCACGTATAAGGCACCTGAATCACAGCAGCAGGTGGGCAGATGACAGAGAAGGAGGAGGAACAATTCTTTAGGATTCTTTTAGAATAATGGTCATCAGTAGTTCCTCTTAGTGGCTCACTTACTTAGTCAATTCATTCTTTTCTACGGACTACCCATGGCCAACAGCTCACAAAACCACACTCTGATCAGACTGACGTTAGAGGAAATGGCAAGGTTGGAGGACTCAAAACCCGTATGTGCAGCAGGCGAGTGACTTGTCCTCGGTGGGCTACAGTGTGGGGGTCAAGAGGGCAGATGGTGGAGTAGGAAATGCCTGGTTTGGATCCTTGGTCAGGAGAGTTTGCCTGAGCCCTATGTTGTACGTGTGGTTTCCTAGACATTATCTCTAGCTTTCTGCTGTTTCATCGCTCCCTTGGATCTGTGACCCACTTGGGTGTATTGTGTGCACAGGGTTAGACAGATGCCAGTTATGCCCCCTTCTTCTGGCATTCGATGTTTCAGGGGGATTGATTTCCTCAGCCAGATGACTGGAGCTCCATCTGCTTCCCTTGAGGAAAGCAGGTGGGGAGTGAGGTCAGCAAAATTCTAAGATGATCTGCAAGATACCTGGCCCCTGCTATACACAGACCTTCTCCCAGTCAGTCAATCAAACACTAATTTAGGTGCTGTTGTGATGCGATTTTGCCATTCTGATTTGTTCCAGATCAGCTGACCTTAGGATAGGTAAATGACCCGGGCGGGCCTGTCCTCACCCCATGATATCTCTAGATCTGGGTCTAAAAATAGAGAGATTGGAAGCATGAGGAGGTGACATAAGGGAGATTCTCCTTTGCTGGCTTTGGAGGGGACATGTGGCCAGGAGCACAGGCAGCTGGGTGTGGCCTCCAGCTGATTGATAGCATGGAAACGGAGACTTCAGTCCTATGACTGCAAGGAACTGAGTTGCAAATACAATGGCGTGAACCTAGGATACTGAGTGCAGCCAGCCAATGGCTTGATTTTAATCTGTGGGACCTGGGCAAAAAGCCAGTCATGCTGTGCCCGGACTCCTGTCCCAGCGAAACTGTGAGCTGAGCTGCCATTTTTTATTCAGCGATAGAAAACTAATAGAGGGAAGCGAGACTCCCACATCTCTCTCTAGACAGACCGCTTTCTCTCTCTTCTCAGGCTGCGAGGCCACACTTTCATTTCAAGGCTTTCTCTCAGGCCTCCAAGTGAGTCAGTCAGTGTTTGTACAAGTGTTCGTGTGTGGAGTATGCACACTTATGGTTTCCTGTGAACTGTCGGCGTTATCTATTAAACGGTAACCTAGCCTAGTGAATGGTTTCTTCTCCTTTCATAACATGGACATGGCAAGAGACAAATAAAGAACATGATTTAGGAAATTCACACAAATATACAAATAGCTATTAGTCTTATGTAAAAAAAGAAAAAGAAAAAGAAAAGCTCAGGGCACATGAACCTAACAAAGACATAGTAAAAAGAAGTCATAATTTTCAACTACTAAAATGGCAGGAATTTCAAATCTCAAAGGAAGACCGATCGGTGAGCATGTGGAAACACTCTCAGACAGTCCTGGCGGGAGTGTAAATCGGTGCGCGATAACTTAGAAATAGCTCATCAGATTGAAAACGCAGCTCCTTGACTCCGTAATTCTGCTTCTAAGAATGTGTATTGTTTGTTACGAGAAGAAAGCACGGTAGCAACAACCAGATATATGTGGGAAATTACTTCAATGCTCGTCAATCAATTATGGTGCATACCTATGATGACATGCCATGCAGTTTTTAAAAGAGCGAAGTCAATTGAAAAATGCTGATCTGACGGTCATTTTAAGTGAATTTAAAAAAAGAAGCAGAAAAGTATGCATAGTGTGCAATTTGTGTAAAAATGAGTGTGCACACATACATATATGTAAAACTATACATGCTTAGAAAATTCATACAGAGAAACGTAAGCCACTGTCAACAGCGATTGCTGTGGGAAAGTGGTACTGAAAACTGCAAAACAGGGAAGGAGAATTTCTTCATTTCACTCCACACTTTTTTACAATATTTGATTAAAAAACTTTAAACATTTACCACTTTTATAACTGCAGGAATGGCTTACACGGCACCTTCAAATTAATGTAACGAGAGGTAATGATATGTAAACCCTATTCGAAGGCTATATATAAATCCTACAATTTACATATTTTAGAGCTCAACAGTTATTTTTAAAATGACAATCTTCGTATCTATTTATAAAAGCTTGTTATAAGACAAGACTGATGAAGGATAGTCACTGACAGAGGATATGATTTCACAGAGAAAGACTACCAACAAAGTTACTTTAAGATCGTACTTAGCAAACAGTCACTGAATAGGAGGTTTCTTCGCTTTCTATAAATCATCCCGAAATGATTGTCAGAAGGAAACATAGGCCTCGATACCAACCTATTCCTTTGAGCTCTGACATCAAGTAGAACCACAGCAACAGTGAAGCATTCATAGAAAACCAGAGCACAGCCAGCCTCTTATGCCCTCATGAAGCACTGGGCTTAAGCAACTTGGCAAGTCTGTTTAAGGATGAATTGATGATTAAATGAAGTCCAAAGGTAGAAATAACTAGGTGGTGAGCAGAAATCCAAGTTATTACCCGACAGTTACTGCTGTAATGTACCCCCGCGAATCACAGAAGGACGCCTCAAGAAGTCGAATTAAAGAGTCACATTTATTGCAATCCGGGACTATGAGGGGGCATTTCGCTCTCCCAGATCTCATAGTGCCTTCCGCGGCCCCAACATCAGATTTATATAGGCAAAGATCACAAAGGTATTGATTACATCCCAGGGTTTGGAATGAGGAACCTGGTTCGCAAAAAAGCAGTTTACAGAAGCAGAATTAAGCATGTTATATAAATTACAGTTTTGGGTCTCCCGGAACACTGAGTCAACAGGGACATGTTAACTGGAGCCCTCTGACCTTGGGATAACTGTGCTGTCCTTCCCAGGTAAAGGAAAGTGTGCTTTCTAAGACCAGTATGACCACAACAAATATTCACATTACAATCAATAGAGTATTTAATCGAATGGGATAATTTATATAATTCAGAAAATTAAAATAACTTTTCTATTATTTTAGCAAGCAAACAAGTACAGAAACCAAACAGCAGGGTTAAAGTTAAAGTTAAACTATAGTTTCTACCTGAGATGATTGCTACCATACTTCATTATGTAAGAACTTAGAGACCCTTAGGAGTTTTTAAGAATTTGACACAAAAAACATATTCACAACTTGGAAGGAAAAAAAATCCCTCGTCAGGTTATATCCCAGGTTATAGTTTCATCCAGCTACTTCATTTTATTCTTATTTTATTTTATTTTTTTATTATTGATTTCAGAGATGGAGAGAAAGAGATAGAAACATCAATGATGAGAGAGAATTATTGATTCGCTGCCTTCTGTACACCCCACACTAGGGATCAAGCCCACAACCTGGGCCTGTGCCCTGATCAGAAATTGAACTGTGATCTCCACCTGGTTCATAGGTTGATGCTCAACCACTGAGCCATGCTGGCTGGGCCACTACTTCTTTTTACTTGTGTGAGTGCAACGGATAAAACTCCAATGATAACAAGTCCCCTGAACACTGGCCACCTACATTTCAGTTCAAATTAAAAATAACAATAACCTTCGGGTCACTGTTAGCCATTCTTTTTCCTTTCCTCTCCTTTGTTTTCCTTCCAAATAAGGATAGAATGGGAGAAATTTTATGATTCTACCTGATGATTGCCTGCTTTATTATTCCAAAGCACATATCTTTGTTCATAGAAAAAGACTCTCAAGGATTGAACACCCAAAGTCACCAAGTATACGTATGCAGATGAAGAACAGAAAACGCTGGGAGTTCTCAAGTAATTTGAAAACCTTTAAACACCTCAAGCAATTATGTCCTGATGGATATCTACCCAGAGGTGGGGCTGACCTGCACATTTGGGCTCATTTAAAAGGGGATCTGTCCCCACCTCCCGCCCTGGGCATTAGGGAAGGAATGGAGGCATGATTGTTTGTTTTATGCTACCTTCAAATATGGTACCAGAACTTTGGCTATCTGGTTCCATTCCACATGACACCTTATGTTTGTCTCAGATGATACCATAACCAAGGGGCACGAATGGAACCTTTTAAAATAATAAATGCAATCTTATTTGGTAAGCAAGATCGTTGAAGTACCTACATGTTAGGATTTCCTGATAAGTTTCTCTTTGTCCATGCATCCTAATCTTTCCCCCTTTTAACCTAGCTCCTTATCCTCCCTGCCTCCTACTGGCCTTCCTCAATGTCCTGGCTCTCCAATAGAAGAGTATCCTTTTGGGAACCAGTTTGTCAAAAGTATATTTTTGCTCATTAATTGTAAACACAATTTATCACCAATTTTCATTTATACCCAATACTAGAGGCCCGGTGTACAAAATTCGTGCAGCGGAGTGGGAGGTTCCTCAGCCCGGCCTGCATCCTCTTGAAATCCGGGACCCCTCAGGGGATTTCCAACTGGCAGTCAGACATCCCTCTCACAAACCGGGACTGCTGGCTCCTAACTGCTTGCCTGCCTGCCTGCCTGCCTGATTGCCCCTAACTGCCTCTACCTCGGCCCCTGCCACCACGGCTTCATCTGGAAGGATGTCCAGAATGATGTCTGGAAGGTCGTTCGGCTGTCTGGTCTAATTAGCATATTACGCTCTTATTATTATAGATGATAGATCACATTACACACATCAGCAAGTATTAGAGATTTTCACTTTTTACCATCTTTGCCAAATTTGGAAGTTTTGTTCTTATCCTTCTCAAATTCTAGAACATCTGACATAATGGATGTTTACCTTCTTAAACCTTTCTCTTCCTTTGGTTTCTCTTTAGTACTCAATCTTTATTCACCTCTCTGTTGCTTCCTTGCTTCATCTGCCTCCTGTCTAATGTTGCTGCTCCCCAAAGGTCTGAACTCAAGTTTCCAGGCTTCCTTCCTTCCTCTTCCCT